CCTTTAGGATTGCTTGCTTTTCCTAGTTTTTTTTGGCGATTGTGTGCCCGCTTTTTGTTTTCGCCTGGATACGCGAGACTCGTGAGGGTGTGAAAGTTTTATACTCATAACTTTAAAAGTTTAAAATTTTAGTGAGTCTAATAACATAGAAAGATAAGAATCTAGGAATTAGCCGGGGATCAACCCGGGGTCGCATGCATATTACTGGCATTACTCTTCCCTTGTTTTAGACCCTTTCCCGCCTTGGGTAGAGTCCGGATAGTCTGACCTATGAGGACGAGGTGCCGGACCTGGGGAAGACCAGTCTTCTAAAAATTATTTTGTAAGCCTGTTTTAAAATATTTCAAGCTTATTTGATTTAAGGTTGTTAACTAGCATGCATTGCATTAGAAATCAATTAAAAGAGTCAAAATTTTAATTTCATAGTCCTTAGCATTTTGCACCAAACATAAGTCAAAGGGGCTAATTTGGAAATTTCTGATGTCGGCCCCAACTCTCCAAAACTTTAAGTACAACATCCCTACCACTCTTTCATAAAGAACCGAACTCATCTCTTTAAAATCGACTATGTGGTTAGTGGCTCCCCAATCTAGGCGGGATAAGTCCAGGTTTTGCACCGCATTGTTAGGAATCGAACGACTTATGGTCTGAGTGTCTAAAATAGATTTAGGATCCGGAGCAGATCTTTGATTATAAGACCCCAAATTTTAGAATATAATCCAAATTTCTAATAAAATGCTCAATCAAATTAAATTTTCCTTTCAATCCTAAATGTAAGCCCAACACTTAGATTGAGTTGGGACACTTCCGGAAGGTTCTGGAATCTCAAAGTTTCCCCTACCTCTCTTCCTTTGATTCTGTTAATAACTGTTTAAATTTTGATCCACTCCCTTTGATTTCCAAAAGATTCTATTCAATTTTTTTTTTGATATACTCTTAGAAAATTTAACAAAATTTCGTTCTTATTTTAATCGAGAGTTTTCGTAGGGGACTCTGTCTCCCTATGATGTAATTAACTACGAGGGCTTGCGCTCGTAGGAGATTTGGAACCCCACACACACTGATTTCAAAATTAATCTTTTTAAAAAAACCTCTTAGATTTCTTTGGGAAAAAGTAAAAAAAATGATTGTCGTTATCATATTAGAAGAATTAATCATTGAAAGGTGATACCTCCCTTTGGGGAGATACATCCTTCTTTGATAAGGCTTTGTGAGATATGAATTCGGCATACATATCTCCTTGAGTATCATAACTAGATTATTTAGTTGAACTCACCTCAGTCCCTCTGGGCCGTGTCGATTTCTCTTTAGAATCTAGCCATGATATTCAAGACGAATTACATAATTCTAAGCCTGAACACCATTGTGGAATTTTTTTTCGCCTTTCGGGGTGATATACTTTTTCGAGCGAGTTGATTCGACTTCTAAAATTAGAATTAAATCTCAATTTCAAAATTCCCAAAGAAAACTAATATTTTTTAAACACATGTTTTCAAAATTCACAACAGTCCTGACGCAGCTTTACGTTCGGACGACAGTAGTGGTGCCACGTGCTCTTACTATACTAGCCGCGCGTCCCGATGACCGACCCGACTAGACCCGTGATTGCTATGTATTGACTTATTTGTGGAAGACCAGGGTATTGCTAGGTATTGCCTCGATATTGCTTGGAAAATAACGAGAAATACCATTATGTTAAGATCAATACCTAGCAATATCTCCGACAAATAAATATCGAGTAATACCAACCAATTCCCTGGTTTTGCTATGTATAGCTAGGTATTGGTCTTGACAGAATGATATTTCTCGTTATTGTTAAGCAATACCTAGCAATACCCAAACTATAGCAATACCGGGTTCCGGTCCAGGTCTGGTCGTCGGGCTGTGGGGTAAAGAGTAAGAGCACGTTGCGACATGTTATTGGCCTCTGGATGTAGAGCTACGTCTGGTGTCCGGACCTAATAATTGTTCCTCTCGGGTGAGGGATTATTATGTAACAAATTAAGCTCAGATCCTAGAATTAATGTGAGAACTAAAATGTAGTAACTCAAACCTAAATCTAAAAAAAATACAATGAGAGTTTTAACTTTAGCCCATTTAAGAATTAAGAAAGCCTGACTCTACTAGAGTTAAAATCCTACTTGTAGATGATTGCCTGTTAAACCTTACCTAATCACTTAAAAAAAAAAATACAATGAGAGTTTTAACTTTAGCCCATTTAAGAATTAAGAAAGCCTGACTCTACTAGAGTTAAAATCCTACTTGTAGATGATTTCCTGTTAAACCTTACCTAATCACTTAAAATTCATGTTATCAAAATATCTAAATGATGCAAGATACACAAAGATTTTGTTATCTTAGGAATTAAGACATACAATTCAGCTATTTTGGCTAAGGAATCAAAACATGAACAATCCTTAATGTTTCTAGCTAATTTAATATATATTTTTAATTTTATTTAATCCTTAAGGGATTTTCTATTTTTAATTTGTTTTTTAAATTTTGTTTTTTTTAGTATATTTTATCTATTTATTTATTTTATTGAAAGAGTTTTAATCTTAGAAAAACCTAACGTACTTTGATAATATATCATTTTCCTTAGTGAAGAGGATGGGGAAGTTAGCACAAAGAACTTGATTAAGGATGTAATGAAGATGAACTTCACCTTTTAATCCCCTAACTTACTCTCCAGATCATTGGTCCTCATCTATAATGATGAGAATTGGACATTGTCATCTATGAATACCTTCGTAATAAAGATGTGTTAACATCAGAATCCATGATAAAATTTTTTTGCCACAAATGTGTGAAGAAGGTTATCAGGTTTTAAGTATAAGTTTGTAGTATTTTAATAACTTAAATATTTGAAAAAATATTTTATTATTATTATTGAGTAGAAATATCTCTGATAAAGAAGAAAAATTCTTAATTATTGAACCAACACCGTAGCGATATAAAAACCAACGTCATAATGTATGCAACACCCTACCATATTAGAAAATTGTTGCATCAGAGCCTAGAAAAATGAAAATTAACTAAGCACCCAAGTAGAGCCAAGGTCAGAGTTGCAATGCTTCATATAGTGGCATCGTCAAAAAATTGCACCGCAATACCTGAGTCTCAAGAATTTGAGTATCAGAGCATTGAGCTTTACAATGCCATAGCACCGAATTGTACATTTAAGCACCATAGCGCTCAACTTTAGAGTGCAAAGATTGAGTAGTTAAACAATTAGAAAAACCAAATTAGCCCAACACCTAGAGAGTATGCTCAATAGTGTTGAGGTGCTAATTTGTTTTATAATGCCAAAATGGCATCATGTCTAGCACCATGGTGCTTGAGTATATTTCTGTATAAGTATAATTAGTTTTTTAGCTCATTTGAGTTAGAGTTTGATTGGATACTACCTGTTTTCATCTGTATTGAGGTCTTAAGTGTTGTGCCCCTATAGAGTGAAGTCTAAGGGAGGCCAAAAGAGAAAAAGATACTTCATTTGGGAGATAGTTAGCCCATCTATTTTAAGCAATTAAACATTTAGAGGACAAATGAGTGTGGAGAGTGCATTGTAATATCTAGGTGATATCTTATTTTACTTATACTCTTATACTCTTTCTTATACGCAAGCAATGAGACTTTATTTGTTATCGTTTATTTCCATTGCTAGAAAATTTCTTAGTTTTTTGCTAAAGATGTGAATCCTTTGCAATTACTAATATAGACTCTTATGCATTCAATGAATAATAGATATTTTTTATAACTCTCAATCTTAATTTAATACAAATAGAGACCATGTGTATAGTCAAAATTTAATGTGATATATGTCCTTGATGGAGGAATACTGAAAAAGTTAGAAGTGTTAGAATAAAAATTTGTATGCTTAAAGATAGGATGCTTAGAGTTCTAGGTTCTATTGAGATTCAATAAATGTAAGAAGCCCATAATTCTACCTAATGTCCCTACAAGCTCGACAAAGATTTAGAGATGCATATGGTATAATCTACATTAAACATAAAAAGTCTACATAGAAAAACTTGAGTAATTTATAATCATTACTCCAATATTTATTCATCTAGTATCTTATCTTTTGTATCCAACAAAAGAGACAGAATCAAAACATTTATTGTCATTTAGTAGGATAAATATTATAGCTCTAGTAGAAAGTACTAATTCATTTATATGCTAACAGATCACTTCCTCATGGGATTGACACTCTTAATCCCTAACTACTTGTTGACATGTGCACTAGTATATTTAGTCGATATTGCATATAAAAAAAAAAATCTAAACATTTTACAACCTGTAGCATAAACATAATTCTTGTGTTCAATGTGAATATATAACATAACCCATCACATCAGGTTTTTGGAGTGTTGCCAAAGAAGTAATGTGCGCATTGCAAATTGATATATATTGTTAAACTAGTTGCCTATTTAGTTCTACTTATCTCATGTAACTTGTATCCATCTTTTTTTTTTTTTTGAAAAAGAAGTTTTTTTCAGTATTTGTATTATTTTGTCTTCTAATATTTAAATTCCTCTTTGTTATTGCACCTGTAGTAGGTCTATTATTTGACATAGAGATTGAAAGAAATCTTTAAAAAAATAAAAAAAATAAAAAAAATAAAAAATAACTTCGTAGACCTCTTAAAGTGTATGTCAATCCAATAGTAGATGTAATTCACTAGAGTATCAATAGACCAACTATCAAGTCTAATAACTCTGAGCTAAAACCCATCAAAATATAGATGACTCAAAATTCTAAATTTAGGGGAACTCCTATTAAGGATCTCAAACTACACTTAGCTAGTTTTTTGAAAACCTGTATGATATTCAAATATAATGGTGTTAGCAATAATGTCATTAGGCTTCAATTATTTTCATTTTAACTGAGGAAAAAAAGATAATATGTGATTAAATTCCTTGCCCCTAGGCTCCATAATTACTTGGAATAAGTTGAAACACAATTTCTTAGCTAAGTGTTTCCCACCTTCTAAAACTACTAAGCTTAGGAATGATATCACTTATTTTTTCCAATTTAAAGAAAAGACAATTTATGAAAATTGGAAAGATTTAAAGAGATGTTTAGTAAATACCCTCATCATGCTTTACAAGATTTGTTGGTTATTCAGACTTTCAATAATGTGCTAGTAGAATCCCTTAGGTCAAAAATTGGTGATGTAGTTGGAGGATCTATAATATCTATGCCATTTGATAAAGTATATGAATTAATTGAGGAAATAACTACTACTACTTTTTTTTAGTCTTTTGATAGGGTGAATCCTAAGAGGGTATTTAGAGTTTATTAGTAAATTGTCTTATCGATTTTTACTATTGAAGTAGCTACTATATCCAAAAAGTTAGATAGTTTTAGAGTTAGCTTTAGATTAGAATCACCTATGCAATTGGAGAATGATTTAAATTTTATTGGAGATAATAGTGTTCAAGAGGTTGAGAATGATAATGTCATTGAAATACAAAATTATTCCTATTCTAATATTTTTATCTATATTGGAGGAACCACCTTAACTTTAACTGGTGTAATTATAATGTTGGTGGTAACAAGTGGAATGTAAGTCAATCGGATCAAGGAGGAAATTAAAATAATACTTAGGAACCTATAGTAAATCCTTAACCTTCTCCCTCAGATTTCAATCAAAAAAATCAATGCAAATATAGGAAGACGCAATTTGAAGAGATAGTGATTCAATTGGAACTTAATTGCAATGTCAAGTTGATTCAATTAAAAACTTGTAAAATTTTGAGGTCATCTTGCAATTTCTTTTAGTAGTAGACCATATGGAGCATTTCCTAGTAATATTGAAATTAATCCAAAAGAGAAAGGGAAGGATCTTAGTGTAGACCACTTGAGGAGTGGTAGTGATGCAACCTAACCAAAATGAAAAATTTAGTCAAGTCTGGCCAAAGATTTTAACCTTAGTACTATTTGGGATGTAACCAAAATTTATTAATGTTATGTATTAGTATTATAGTTAAAGTGTTTATTTATTTATTTGTGTTATTTAAAAAATTATAAAATATTTGTTAAATATGCTTACTTAGTATGGTTTTGACTAATATAATTAAATGATAATATTTTTAGAACAAAGAAAAGTTGTAAATTTTACCTAACACCATAGCGCTAGGGCTTAGGGTATTACAATGTTTGCTTACCAACCACTATAGCGTTTAAATTAGGCACCTCGACCCTAAAGTCTTTAGAAAATTAGCATTGTACATTGTAGCAACAATATTTACTTAAGTTCCATAGTACTACTTTCACACATATAATGCTTCAACACTAGTCCATGCAGCATCGTGGTGCAAAATAAATATTATCTTTTGTGTTGCTGCATAGTGTTAAACATTGCTATATAGTGCAACTATTCTATGTGAGTCATTTTGAAGTGTTGATGTGCTCCTTGTAGTGCCACAATGTTTGGTCAAAACTATAATTAGTCATTATAGCAATGCAATAAAGGGCTTACCTGAGTGCTATAGTACTCTCATGTATCATAATGTGATGGTTCTTTGGGAAAAAGGCTGACGATATATTTTTTTTATTCTCGATCAATATCTCCATGTATTTTTCATGTGTGGCACAGCTGTTAGCCTACCTGTTGTAATTTAGTGTTCTTATTAGCACTACAGTGGTGACCATCACAACGTCGTGATTCTAGTCATGTTTATAAATTTAAAGTTTTCATGATCATTTTTCTTCATATCATCTTATCCTTCTCTTTCCTAATCTTTTTGAGTTTATCCTATTTACTTGTAAGTTAAAATTTTCTTATAGCCTCTAAGATATTTGGAAGAAAGAAGTGAACATCTTCTTCTTTTGATTAGTGGAGATTCATTTTTGTCGATGTTAAAGATCATTTTGCCCATCTATTAATGAGAAAGAAATTCATACCTGAGTGGGGTTTCTTAAACCCAGGAGGGGTCGTGATGCAAATCATAGTAAATGAGGGGTGGGAGACACTATGTGAGGATTCACATGCTACCATGGTAAATTCTTTCATGGAGATTTTGTGAATGCCAAGTAATCCCAAAATAACACATATTTTGTCTCGGATAAGTGGGTACCTTTTTATTAGGGCTGCAAACGAATCGAGCCGAGCCGAGTATGCGAGTGTTCATGTTTGTGTTCATTTAATATAAGCTTGTTCAAGTTTGGTTCATATTTGTTCGAGCTTTAGCGTTTGTGTTCATGTTTGGATCATTTAAATTAAGAAGTGTTCATGTTTGGTTCATGTTCGTTCATTTAGTGTTTATCGAGCTTGTTCGCAAACATATTTAACGAATTTTTTTAACTATCAAACTAACACGTTCATGAACAAATCTATGAACAAATGCATTTATAATAAAAGCAATTGTCTATGTAACAAAGTTAATAATTATTTATATTTATTAATTCTATAGTCAAATATAATTATTTTTATCGAGCTTATTCACGAGTTCAAAATCGAACATGAATCGAGCTTTTATTGAGCTTCGTATCGAGTTTAATGTCGAGCTTGTTCACGAACTTCAAATGATGTTGTTCGCGAACATAAATGAGCCGAACGTATTAGTGTTCAAGTTTGTTTATTTAAGAATCGAGTATTTAAAATATTGTTCAAGTTTGTTTGTTCAGTTAATTAAACGATCGCAAACGAGCTTTAATCGAACCGAACAACGAGTAGCTCGTCGAACGTTTGGTTCGCTTGCAGCCCAACTTTTTATCACTCCAATATTTATCATTTATATAGGCTTAATGATATGGAGGATCATAATTATTATGGTTTTACTATGGCACCCATTGACCATCAAGAGGTTTTGAGATTGCTTTGTGGACCTAAAAGTGGGTATATTTGGAAAGCTAATTTATCATCTCTTATATATATCTTTAGGGGCTCTATATTTAATGGTTTGGTGTACCACTTTCTTTTTAATGGTCTTTGGGTTATTTTTGGTATAAGGGGTGATTCTAATGAAGAGTAGTTATTTCCCATTTCAACTCTCATAATGCAAAAAATTGAAGGTCTTAAAATGATTGATGTAGAGGAGGAGGTTCTTCCTAGTGCACCTCTTTTGATAATTAGGCCTAGTAGTAATTGGTCGAGTGCTAGGTCCTTTAGATCTTTAGGTGAGTAGGGGGTAGATTTGTGTGAGAAGATTGAGGGAGTTATAGAGTTTTATGATGAGAGCTGGAGCTAGAAGGCTCATTATGAAAATATACAGGGGAAGCATTATCACTACAGTTCTAAGTTCAATGAAGCATTGGTGGGGATGTTTACAAGGAGCATCTTTATAAAAAATCCAAATAAGCTTCATTTCCTTATTGTTCTTGTGTATTTTCCTTTTGTTTGGAAGTCATTTGGTGGTGAAGATGTTAATGATGATGAGGAAGATAAAGATTCTAAGTGATGGTTGTTTATTTTTCTTTGTTTCTTTAATGGCTTACATGTTGAAAAGGGAGAGAGAGAGAGAGAGAGAGAGAGAGAGAGAGAGAGAGAGAGAGAGAGAGAGAGAGAGGAGTGAGATTGAGTTATGTTTGTTGTTGGTGGATGTACTTTTTTATTTTTCTTTATTTTTTATTTCTATGCTTGGGGATATCCCCATTGATTGCATGTGATGGTTGTGTATTAATGATATTTACAGTTCATGTGATTTAGTTGTGCATGGATGCACATTTCATTACAATAGTGGATATAGTAATATCTTTATGCCTTAATGACTTTGTATCATTTTTAATGAAAAATGCATGTTTAGTTTCTTTCAATATATTTTGTATGTTATTTTGCTTATTTTAGTGATTTTTTAATGTTAATGATGTTATAGTTCAATTTTCATTTAAATAAAATTCTTGTTATTTCTTAATTGTTTAAAATGTCCTCTACATAACAGTTGCACTTTGATTACTTATTTAACTCAAACAGAATTAAAAGTAAAAAAAAAAATTAAATTTAGGAATAATACTAAGCTCAATGTGATAAATTGGATGGATAAAGAATTATAATTTTCAATTTAATAATCATAAAAATTAATAACAGAAAGTCTACTAAGTTATTGACTTACTTTCAACTTAAAAGCTCTAAACTTAAGCACAGACAAAGATTTAAAGAATGAATAATTAAGTTTAGAGAGAGGGAGTGTGTAGCTTAAATTATGTAAACCATTATAAACTTGAATATGGATTAGAGAGCTCACTAACATCCTTACATTAATTTAGTTTAGGATTACTTAAAGGAAGAAAGAAATCCAATATTCAAATCATTATTATACACTGAAAACTAAAATTATTAAAAACATAAAATCAAAATAAAATAAGAAAAGAAAAATAAAATTGAGTACTTCATGAATTGGTATTTGATAAAGCTCTATTCCTAAGGGTTTTCTAACACTAAAATCAAATAAGACAACATAACTAAATGAATACATATGATAATTTATTAATTAGCTTTTTATTTAACTACAAGAATCATCAATTTCTAAATGAAATATTATTCAAATCTAAAAATTAGTAGTTCACTTTGCACTTACACTTGTAGTAGATAAGATCAAATTAAGCAAGAGCAAGGCTGATTTATTAAGATAATTACTTATAGTCATTCAAATTAAAATTTCATAACTTTGATCATTCAAAATTACATCTAAATGTGAAGTATTTTATTTCATTATGATAATCTTAAATTGCTAATTTTTATTTGGGCAACTAGGCTAATCAATAGGTGATTACACCATTGCTTGAGGGCATGCAAGATTTTAAGTTGGGGATAATTTGTTAAGTGTAAATTTTGTAGTATTTTTTGGTATTAAATATTGTTAAAATATTATTATTTTTATTATTTTTATGAAGGAATGTCCCAAGAAAAGGGAGAAAAAATCACAAGTATTGAACGAACGCCACAATGATCCAACAATTAGTGTCATAGCATCCATAACATATAAGGAAATGGTAATGTCAGATCCTCAAGTAAAATGATAATTAATTCATCCCCCCAATGAAGCTAAGTTTAGTGTTGCATTGCTTCATAACATTGCACTTCTAGAAATAAGCACTACAACACCTTAGTCTTAGGAACTGGAGTGCCAGGGCAATAAACTTTACAACACTAGAATGCCAG